ATGCCTTTCTCTGGCCTTTATCTCACTTCTTCAGACATAGAACACAACTGTGCTTATATGAATTGTCTTCTTAGCATAAAATACCATGGAACATTGATGTGGCTGTGTCCCTGTAGTATGCTGTTTCTAAGTCGTTTGGGTATAGACTTAGGAGAGGGATAGCTGGGTCAAATGGTGGTTCCATTCCCAGATTTCCAATACTGCTTTCCATATTGGCTACACCAGTTTGCAGTCCCACCAGCAATGTATGAGTGTGCCTTTTCCCCCACATCCTCATCAACTCTTATTGTTGTTTGTCTTCGTAATAGCTGCCATTCTGACTGGAATAAGATGATATCTTAGAGTAGTTTTGATTTGCATTTCTCTAATTGCTAGAGATGATGAACATTTTTTCATATAGTTGTTGATTGATTGCAAATCCTTTGAGATGTGTGGAACCAACCTAGATGCCCTTCAGTAGATGAATGGATAAAAAAAAATGTGGCATATATACACAATGGAATATTACTCGGCAATAAAAGAAAATAAAATCATGGCATTTGCAGGTAAATGGATGGCATTAGAGAAGATAATGCTAAGTTAGCCAATCACCAAAAAACAAATGCTGAATGTTTTCTCTGATATAAAGAGACTGATTCATAGTGGTGTAGGGAGCGGGAGCATGGGAGGAATAGACGAACTCTAGATAGGGCAGAGGGGTAGAAGGGGAAGGGAGGGGGCAGGGGTGGAATGTGATGGACATCATTATCCAAAGTACATGTATGAAGACATGAATTGGTGTAAACATACTTTACATAGAACCAGAGATATGAAAAATTGTGCTCTATACGTGTAATAACAATTGTAATGCATTCCACTGTCATTTATTTTTTAAAAAATCAATTAAAAAATATATATATATATCATGGAATAATAGAGATTGCTTCCAAGGAACTTGACTGTCTTCCTGAATCATTAAGCCCTGACGATTTTCAGCTTTTCATGCATTTTTTAATGAGTTGGTCCTGTCCATAGAGGATCCCATGTAATCTACCTCTTTCTACTGCCAAAATTCCAGAAAGGTTTCATGATGATCCTTCACCCATTTGATACTTCCATAACAGCAAATTGACCTCAGAACTACGTGACACATTCTTTAATTTGTGTGTCACCTGCCTCTTTTGGAAAGACATTTGAAATGGAGTCTTCTGTTTCTTTATCTGGATACAGTGTGCCAATAGCTGAGGCCACCTAATAGCCAGAGAGGGTCAAAAGGAGACATTCTTGAAACAATTCTTTCTAATGCCAGGCTGCCCAGCGCGGCTTTCGAGAGCTGCATCAGAACACTCGTTGTGAACACAACAGTGGCCCAAACGAGCAGACAACTAAGGCAAGGCCTTTCTGTGCTCTTTTGAAACAGTCTTTTGAAGTTTGTTCAGTGCATTCAAATAGACTTTCCATAATGGAGGCCTACATCATCAGGACCACGCTGCTGCTGATGGTGATCACTGTCATTGGGGTGATCTGATTCACAGAAGGTGGGCTTCATGAAGCATGGACTCGAGGGCGAATCCCAGCCCTGCTACTCACTGTGTGACCTTAGCCAGTTACCCTATTTCTCAATTTCCCCAACTGTAAACTGGGAAGCAAAGGTAAAATGCTCATCCTGTAGGAATGGAGGGTGCCCCCACCCAAAACTGGATTAGACATGGAGACGGATAAGGCCATCCACATGCCAGATGGTCTATCATGGTGAGGCTTTGTGGGGAGAGCAGGGAAGGCTTCCCAAGCTGGTCCAACAATAGCCTTGGGAGCAGAGAGAAGACTGGCATTTTTCAAAAATTGTGGTTAGAAGGTGGGGCCAGCCAGGCTGAGAGTCCGTGTGGGCAGCATCATTCATGGACTCACTCCCCCAAAGGCCAAAGAAGGGAGGGTCAGGCTTTCTTATATCTTGCCCTGATGTAGGAAGAAGAGAGGCTTCATAGCTGTCAGCTGGAAAATGTCAGGACATGAAGACAGAGTCTATAATGGTCTGTCCCAGATCAAACATCAATAGATTCTTGTGTTATCAGCTTTCCATCACTGTGACCAAAATACCTAACAAAAACGACTTAGAGAGTAAAAGTTTATCTGGGGCTTGAATACGGTTTCAGAGGTCTCAGTCCATGATGGGACTCATTGCTCTGGACCAGAGGTACGTAGACCATCATGGTAGAGGACAGCTGCTCAGCACGTGGACGCCAGGAAGCAGAGAGAAACAGAGGAAGGAGCCAGGGACAATGTATAATCCCTGAGGCCACCCCACCCCAGGGACAAGCTTCTTCCAGCCACAGCTCACCTGCCTGTTATAACACCCAGTAATCCATTCAAATTCTCAATCCAGCTTAATGAATTAACCCACTGATCAGATTGTAGCTCTCATTTCTCCAGTCATTTCAACCTCTCAGCATTGCTCTGTTGGATAACATGTTTCCAACACATGAACTTTTAGGAAGATAAACCATAACAATTTTATTACTGGATTCATCTCCTACTAGTCCTTAAAGTTCCCCTAAGGCATGATGCTTCACGAGTTTGACCTTATATGAGGTGTACCATATAGACTTGCCATTTAGACTCGTTCTGTATTTAATGTCAAATAGATCATCACCTACAGGGAACTCATGTGGCCTCCAAAAGACCAAATTAATGTGTCTCTGTAAACACCTCATTAACAACAGCACAAGACCTAAAAATGCTGAGGAGGAAAAATATCTTTTTTCATATATATAAGTGTGTATGTTTGTGTGTCTATCTATACCTATATATGATAAATATACTGTTACTGGTTATAACATCAGTATCTGTACATAGTAATTTTTTAAAATATGTTTTTAGTTGTAGATGGACACAGCACCTTTATTTTACTTACTTTTATGTGGTGCTGAGGATCAAACCCAGTGCCTCAGATGGTGAAGGCAAGCGCTCTGCCACTGAGCCACAATCCCAGTCCCATAATGATAATTTTATGCATTATTATTAGTATATTTGAGACTGTTAGAAATCTATTCAACCTCAGGAATATGAATGAGTAAATGCTAGTATGCTAATACTTGCTTTTAGTTTTAAGAATTTTACATTCAAATAGCAGTAAGCTGAAAAGCAAGGAGACCTTTAATGTTGTTGTGTGGGGGTGTAAAGGGTCTGGCGGCGCGTCGGAGGGAGAGACCACACAAGAGACTGACCTCATGCAATCGAAGAAGGGGATTTATTGGGGATCCGTTCCAGCATGCTGGGGCTCTGTGCTCACTCAAGAAGGGAGAGCAGCCCGGAGCCCAGAGCAGAGGTCAAGCAGAGCTTAAGTACACTTTCTGGAGAGGGCGGTGGGCTTTGCATACATCAGAACAAATCATCATGAGGCTCGGGAAAATTGAACAACTCTGAGACAGGATTAGTACATTCATTGGCGGGAACAGGGCAGGCGGGGGGGATTGGTCATTTCTAAGCGGGGTACACATTTAAACTGATTGGTTTTGGAGCCTAGATGCTTACGTGCCAAGCTGCTTGGAGCCCTTAGCTATGAAACAACCAGGGAATCAATGGAGATATTTACTGGGCAGTTTCAGCATTGTCCTAACAACTACAGAGATTACAGGTTCCGGGGGTAGCAGAGGAATTGTAACAATGCCTTGTCTTTTACTTTTTAGCCCAGGCCTTGTAATCTAGAAACCCTACAATGCCTGGTCTTTTACACTTTAACTCAGACTTTTGCAGCTTAGAATCAGCTTAGAAATTTTACCTTTACAGGGGTGTCAGTTTTTTTGACATATAGTTTATATACAATAAAATATAATTATTTTAAGCATACAATCTGATGAATTTTGATAAATGTACACAGTCATGTCACTACAATGGTCATGATATTTCCCTCACCCTAAATGTTCTCTTAGAACACTTTGCAGTGTGTCTCTTACCTAGAATACCTAGGATCTGGCACCAACCACTGATTCCTATCACAATAGTTTTATCTTTGCTTGAATGGTATATAAACAGAATTATCTGGGACATGGTCATTTGTGTTTGGCTCCTTGTATTAGTTGTCTATTGCTGCTATAACAAATTGCCACAAATAGAATTCTTGAGTCTAAAGTCCAGGTAGTGTTGTTCAACTGAGTCGTCTGCTTAGAGTTTACAAGGCCAAAGGCATAAGGCAGCCCTGTGCTCCTTCCAGGAGACTGTCTCATTCGGGTTGTTGGCAGATTCCTGGAAGGTGCAGACTGAGGTCTCCAT